CGAGAGTTACAACGAGAACGTGACGTCATATTTACACCAGACGGATCCTTTCTAGCCATAACCCTGCCGGCTGGAACCTGAACTACAACAACAAAACACTAAAGATATAAATACTGCTTTTAAATATATGTATATTTTATATTAAAGAAAACTGTGGATATTTATATTTACACTTTATATATTTATAAAATAGAGACTAAGTTTTCCTGAATCATTCACTTTGGGTTTATTTGAACAGTTACATTGCAGTGTGTGTGATACAGTGTGTGTGATACAGTCTGTGTGTGTGTGTGTATATGAGTGTGTGTGTGTTTGTATATGATTGTGTGTGTGTGTGTGTGTGTGTGTGTATATGAGTGTGTGTGTGTGTGTGTGTGTGTGTGTGTGTGTGTGTGTGTGTGAGTGTGTGTGTGTGTGTGTGTGTGTGTGTGTGTGTGTGTGTGTGTGTGTGTGTGTGTGTGTGAGAGAGTCTGAGTATATGAGTGTGTGTGTGTGTGTGTGTGTATGTGTGTATGTGTGAGTGTGTGTGAGTATATGGGTGTGTGTGTGTGTGTGTGTGTGTGTGTGTGTGTGTGTGTGTGTGTGTTAGTGTGTGTGTGAGTGTGTGTGTGTGTGTGTGTGTGTGTGTGTGTGTGTGTGTGTGTCTGAGTATATGATTGTGAGTGTGTGTGTGTCTGAGTATATGATTGTGTGTGTGTGTGTGTCTGAGTATATGATTGTGTGTGTGTGTGTGTGTGTGTGTGTGTGTGTGTGTGTGTGTGTGTGTGTGTGTGTGTGTGTGTGTGTGTGTGTGTGTGTGTGTGTGTGTGTGTGTGTTACCCTCTGCGTCCAGCAGCTTGTAGAGGCCCAGGTGTTGCTCGCCCAGGTTGAAAGCATTCTGCAGGTTGTGGTGAGCGTTTGATTTCTTCAGCTTGTCAAAGTCGATCAGGTCGGGTCTGAAGACAAGAAATACGAAAACAAACAATTAAAAAGATAAATAACAAAGCAAAAAAACTGAAAGGCCTGAAACCCAAGGAGGAGGACTTTTCAATTATTATTTGTTTAAGTGTAATTGACTGATTGAACTCTTATTAACTAGATATTTTTAAATGTCTGTAGATTTCCATTTCTATTTTTCTCAGATGAATTTATCTCAGTTTTGCTTTTCTAATTCAGATATCTATGATCTGGTATTGAAATCCTTAAAATGAGGAGATGTGTGACTAATATGCAGCTGGACTATTCTTCTGTGTTTATAAAGAAACCCTTAAATGATCAATTATCCCCGAAGAGGAGTTTCTTAGGACTCATAAAATACGACATTAGTTTCAGTAAATCAATCTTTAATTTCTGTTCTCTGCTGTGTGACTCCTCTGTTATTTAGTTACGTGTGCATAAAGACGTGCTGTGGTTGGAGTCTGCTGAGCGATCAGCTGAGACTGACTTATTAAAGAGCAGACTGTCTGCAGAGGGCATGAGGAATGACGTGATGTTAAAGAAGGGTTTGTGGATAAATACATTCTTCTTTCACGTGAATAAAACTGCTTTCAAATAGTTCTCATGGCAGAATGAAAAGTAGGGCGGAACGATTTGGAAAATAGATCCAATTACTGTATGATGTTTGCTTTTTTTTCTGACTGATATTGCAAAGGTTAATACTGTGTCTGATATTAATGGGAAATGTAATCTTTACATCATTATTCTTCATCGAAAAAATTAAGTAAGTATGAGAAATATTGGTGTCTTGCATACTAATGGCGCATTTCCACTGCAGGGCCTCGCACGGCTTAGTACGGTATGGTTAGGCCTTGGTAGGCCAGGCTCACTTTCTGATGCGTTTCCATTACAGTTTAGGAACTGGGGCGGTAACTATAGTAACGCAGTGTAGGCGGAGCCGTGACGTCATCTTCAATGAGAACCACACAAAACCAACATCAGCCGTTAGCTGTTAGCCCTCAGAGCTCACAGCTCCTCATATCTGTTCAGAAACTAGACAGAAGTTAAACAAGTACAAACCACAGACTGTCTGTGTCATGGAGAATACAGTCGCTGGTTTATTTAGGTCTGTAGGCCGTAGTTGTGAGTGTGGACGGTCGGAGCATATACAACGTTAGCTTAGCCGATCTCCATTCAGAAAACACACATTTTAAAAGGTGTTTCGCCTGCCGTCTGTCTGCAGACTTGTCAAAGCATTCATTCATGGTTTTTACTAACCGGTATCAGTATGTTGTTACTTCGGCATCATTTTGAAACGTGTTATAATTAGATCACGGTCAAATAAGTTCATTTTGTTGTAGTTGTAGCCCCCTTGCAAGCGATTCTCTCACTAGTTTAGCATACTTAGCCCGGTTGTTGGCTCGGAAAGAACCTGGATGTTGGAGAGCCAGAAAACTGTGAAAAAGTACCCGTTAGCCGGAGCTAGCCCTAGTGGAAACGCAACCAAAAACGGGCCGGGCACGCTTAAACCGGAAATGGAAATGCGCCATAAGTGAGCTTGGTGTGACTGCATTGACCGTATTGTTCTTGTAGGTAATGTTGTATTGTTTTGTAAGTGTAATGTTCAATGTATCATAGGTCCAATTTATAGTCACTTTGTATATTAAAAGTTTTAGCTTGTATTGTCAAATGATACTTATACTGTCTGTTATGTGAGATTGCACCTTCGGGAACGCTTGGAATTTGGCTGTACTCTGTGTAGTGACAATAAAAGGAATCTAATCTATCTGTAAAGATACTGAATGAGCTCTTACCTGTGTTTGTGGATGAGGGCGTTGAAGGCCATGCCGTCTCTCCAGCTGGTGCTGAAGTTGTGGATGTTGACGTTTGGATACCTGCACAGGAAGAGGAACACTTCATTTAGTGGTGCACTGTTTTGCTTTTTCCCTTCACATCTCATCATTTAGAATAATTGATCTAATGGGAGCATCACTGTCAGATGGTAATAGCCTCAACGCTGCAGAGCACACAGGACAACAGCTACAAAGATTGAGTACAAATCTGTTCAATTTGTGACTTCTTGGAGATGAACAGAAGGCAACAGGGCTGATGGGAAATGTAGTCTCAATATTGATTTTCACAAACTGGTGTTTAGCTCTCACCCTGCGGTCTTCATCTGACACCAGAGCAGCAGAGCATCTTTAGCAGACTTCTTCTCCTTGTTGTCCTCCGTCTCCACGCTGATGTCCTGGATCTGAGACACACAGACACACACAGTGAGCACAACATAGAACATGTAAAGACTTTAAATGAGAAAGACGTCCAGCGTTTGTAAAAATATGCAGCTTTTTTAAATCATACATTTGAAAAAACTTAAGGGAAGAGTTGGATTTCAGTTTTTAATTGTCTTACTGAGACGCTAAGGTTGATAGAACGTTATTTATAGCATTTGAAGAAGGATTTCATCCATTTAACTTTCTGTTAATATTGAGTCCTTCTGATTACATCTTCCCTTTTTACACAATTGAATGCAAATTCTAGATGCAATTATATTTGTCTATCCATGGATAAAAGCTCACTTTATATATTAAAACATTTCATCAAAATAGTCATAACGATACATCAAAACATTATGCATAAAACATTCATCATGTGCAGATCCCTGCTGTTACACATTCTTTTAAATGTTGGTTGTGTTTGTGATATTAAAGGTTTGGTGCTGTGCAGAGATTAAGAGAGCATACAGTGATCACTGCAGCATGACGTCTTCCCCTCATGCATACGTGTGTAATCCATTCAGAGGGAGGTCCTCCGCTGACATGATGCGTTCACGGTCTGTCCTCACTGTCGCTCTCTGGCCTGACATCAACACACATCTGCACTGCATACTTGTGAGGATGCAAACACTTTCCAAACACGTCCTCACTTTCTAAAAAGGTCCAGACTGTCAAGAAATGTCCTAATTTTTCAAACATTTAAATTAAAATAACCTTATTTATTAAAAAGGTGCAGACTTTGGAAAAATGTCCTCACTATAGAAACCCTACTATATCTTGCTTTTTGCAAATGTCAATTGTTCAATAAAGTATTTGCTTTATAGATTTACCTTTCAGATGACGCCTTCAAACTTAAGATTTGTTTTTCCAAAACAATCCTCATTTTAAAACTATCTTAAGCTCTAATAAAAGGTCCCCTAAAATATCACACACACACACACACACACACACACACACACACACACACACACACACACACACACACACACACACACACACACACACACACACACACACAGGTCCTGCTGTCAATCGACTCCATGTCATCTACTGCAGGAATTAAATCCACTAAAAAAGTTTTTTTAATCCTTACGGCTTTTAAAAGCTAAATCCTTTCCACCCAACTGTTCTCTGCCCTGATGACGTCATCCTCATCAAGATACACACCCACACACAGTGTAATGAAGAGTGTGACACTGAAGACACACAGTGTGATGACAGTCTAAGCAGGGCGTCCATGCCTTTGAAGCAGATGAAGGCCTTCAAGGACTCAACAAAGCGAAAACGAAATAAAAATATTTAGCACTTTAATAAATGTTTTGCATATTCAAAGCTAAAGTAGTTGAAGGTTTTCTTCTGATTGTTTGAACTGTGAAATATAATTTAGGATTATTCAAATCTTTAGCAATAATCGTTTACAAGATAAAACATTTTACTTAATTCCTATTATTTTTTGGATGCTCTGTGCGGTGGTGGTTGTGTGAAGTTACCTGGAAGCGCAGGATGATGGTCCAGATGAGGCCGAGCACCAGGCGGTGGTTCCCGTCCACGATGTCGTGAGAGCCCATGTTCTCCAGGTGAACCCTCTGCTCCTTCAGGAACTGCAGGGCTTTGTCCACGTTCTCCAGGCAG